GCTGCTGCTTCAGCTCATCCAACAAGGCTCGTTGGATACCGCGAGTTTGACGGAATCGCAACGCGCGTTGCTGCTCGCGGTGTTGCCGAATCCCGGCGCGGCGGTCGGCAACGCCGCGGCGATGGCGATGCCGCCGATGAATCTCCTGCAACCCCCGCTTTTCGGGGCGCCGATGTGGGGGGCGATGGTGGGGATGCCCCCGCAGGGGATGATGCCGATGAACCCCGCGATGATGGCGGCCGGGCGGGGCGCCAACGCCGCCGGGTTTCACCGCGGCCCCGCCAACCCGCCCCCGTCCGAGGAGACACTGAAATTGCGGGAGATTCAACGGAAGCAGTTCCTGAAAGTCATCCGCGATGAAACGGAGGCGTACGAGAAGAAGCTGCAGGAGCGAAGCGCGAAGGAAGGTCGACTCTCCGGCGGCAGCGACGACGGCGAGGGCAGCAGCGGCTCCGAAAGCGACAGCGGGAAGCCGTCAAAGCGGCGGCGGCATGAGAAGTCGGGCGGCGGTATTAGCGACGACGGTGGCGAGGATGAGGCGGAGGCCTCCCGCAAGGACTAAACAAAGGAATAAAGGAAAGAAAAGAAAGAAACGAAACGAAATGAAAAAAATGCGTCCGCGTGGTTCGCTCACCTTGGTGGTCTTCTTTTATAACCGTTGCTCCTGTTGTGGTGGGTGTGAGGGAGTTGGTATGGTTCGGCGGTTTCCCTCCCCCGGGCCTACAGTATTCAGCCCATCCTTGTTCGTTGGGTGGGCTTGAAAGAAAGGAAATCGCTGAATCGCGCTAAAGTGCTTCTTTTTGGTTGTTAATATGACAATGTTATGAATGCAGATGCAAACAAATGCATGAGTCTTTAATCAGTGTATGCACATACAAATTAAATTAGAATTGGTCAGTGATAAGTTTAGGCCTGCGACAAGTTCCCCTTCAGAGGAAAAGTCGCAATGCAGGTAAGATGGTAGACTAAGGATATGGTAAGGGACTGTGGTCTTCGAAAAGGATAGCCATCTTGAAAACAAGGTAAAGTGTCTAGAAACGACCATTCATTTTCGTAGTAAAACATCGACACACCGATCCAAACACTAGACCACAGAAAAGAGGGGGCACACTGACAGGTTTGGTGGTTTCCATTGATAGCATGCATCTCCGGATCGAATTCAGTGGTCGAAAGTTATTGGGATGGTTCGTACGACCTCCATAAGGAAATAAAGACTAGTAATTATCCGAGAAATCCTTTAATTTTCCTGTTCCTTACAGTGAAATAACTTTCTACATCAAGAAATGCTACCCCAAATACACGATCCTCCATGTCTAATTGTGCATGAAAGTATTGTCGTAGTGAGTCTATCAACCGATGTCACGGTGCATTCTCATATCAAACTTTTCCCATCTCCCTTCTCTCTTCATGAAGCTAAATCCGTAGAACAACCACGCACACTCATTCACACCAAAAACAACAACAACAACTAAGCACTACCAAGCACTCATTCATCACTTCACGTGAAGCCTAATTTCACACCCACGCACCCAACGCCGATTCCTATACAAACTTCTTTATATTAAATCCTATACCTAATGGCGAAGGTTGGCGAAGGAGACCCCCGTTGGATCGTCGATGACCGCAAAGACGGGACGAACGTGAACGCGTGGCATTGGGAAGAACGCGACCTCTCCGCTTACGTCCACGACAAACTCAAAAAAGTCTTCCTCTCCCTGAAGTTCCTCGAAAACCAAGACGGGGTGGCCTACGCGCAGATCGACGAGGTGAGTGAGATCCTCGGCGACGTCACGGTGGCGCAGCGGAAAGGAAAGATGATGTGCTACTTCGAGCTCAAGATGACGTTGCAGTGGTCCGGCAAGGCCGCCGACGGGGAGCCGGAGGCGAAGCTCATTAAAGGAAAGTTGGAGGTCCCCGAGGTCGACCACGACGAGCTCCCGAACGACTTCGGCATCGACGTGAGTTGCCAAGAAAAAGGTGCGGCCGCGCTGCGGGTGGAGGATGCGGTGCGGACCGCCGGTCGCGCCCGGGTGCGTGCGGAGCTCCGCCGCTTTTTTGACGCCCTCTACGAGGAATACCGCATTGGAAAGGTCGTGAAAAGCGGTGCGGGGATGCCCCCTCCGCTTCCGCCTCCTCCGAAGACCACAACGACGACGGAGGCTCGCCGGGAGAAGGCGGAAGGTGGTGGCTCCTTGACGGAGGGGGTGCTGACGTGGAAAATGCGCTGGCGGGTGCCGATTGAGCAGCTTTTTCACCTCCTTGTGGATGAACGCACGGCGAGCCTTTACACACGGGGCCCCGCGCAGCTCGATGCCCGCACCGGCGGGACTTTTCAATTCCTTGGTGGTGTTATTTCTGGGTACTTCGTCGAGCTTCAGGCGCCGGGGCGGATTCGTGAGCAATGGCGGCTCAAACATTGGCCGGTGGGGATCCACAGCTCCGTCGTGATGCAGCTGATCAAGGAGGAGCCCGGGGTGACGGTGCTCGACTTCGCCCAGCACGGTATCCCGAGTGGGGAGCTCCAGAACGTCAAGGAGGGGTGGCGGGTGAACTTCTTCGACGCGATGCGGACCTTCTGCGGGGTGTCGATGGAGTACATCTGAGCGACCGTTCGATGTGGGCCCCCTTTCTTCCTCCCTTTACCTCTTCCCTTTGTTTTTCTCCCCCTCCCCCTCGCTGCCGTAAGCCTTGAAAAACTCGACCTATTACTATTATTATTACTATTATTATTATTATTATTATTGATAATATTATTATTATTGTTTATCTACATCTCCACTGTGGGCATGAAAAGAAAGACAGAGTAATGACGTAAGAGATGATAAAGAAACAGATCTGAGATGATAAACAACGTAACAAACTTGTTATTTTGACCCGGCTAGGTTAATGATAGCGCACGCTTCACTTTTGACTAAGCACATGACTATCATTCCATTAATAAAAACCTTGGGCACTTTTCAGGTATATATATATATATAACTGTAATCGTTTCTTTTGAATATCTGAAGTTTGATTGTGGTGAAATGAAGGGGTGTACTTATAATGTCGAAAAATAGGAACACTTATAATTTAAAAATAGTCATGCACAGGAAGTACCTAGATTTTTTGAATCCACTTATTTCTCTAAACTTCAGCTAAGGTGCGGCTTATATTAAATACAGAAAACTCTCTTTTTAATTCCACATTCAATTTTCCTTCCCCTATTCCCCATGTGGAGATGCACTCCTAATTACTTGACTCCTCCTTTGACGTACTTTTAATTGTGGAATATTATCAATCATAGTGAAGCCACAGATTTCCGCTTTACTTGCTTCGACATCGCCTTTTGACCGAATGAAGCATCACGCCGTATGAAGGTGTCAAAGAGGCAATAAAATGGCAGTGACAATATTTCACGGTAGTGGAAATTTTCGGCGCAACTAGTTGAAGAAATCAATTCTATGCCCGGTTCACTTCGGCGGTTACCAACCTCCGAGGGTCGGAAAGCGGGTGATGTTCGACCATGACGGTTCATAAACATTTCAGTATGCAAAATGAAAGTAAGGGCTCTCTATTAATGAGGTGCGAGCTGTCAGCTAGGATCGCTATGCAGACAGAATCTAGGACTGATTCAACCCACGGTGAAATGTCGAATTTATCGTCTAAATTCAGCCTAGCACTGATATTATTCATACACCATATTCGTAATCGAGAAAATTTGACAAGTTACAGTATTATTCTCACTTTAAACCGGCCTGCTGTTAAGGCTGTCATTCTGCGATGATACAGAGACCATTCCTTACGCCCCAGCCTAAAAAAAAAGATAAAAAGATTAAAAATAAAAGGACTCTCAGGACGCTCTGACAAACAATGGCGCCTTGTGGGGTGTGTTTAGTCACATGGCTCCTAGTTGACAAGAGCCTGCTTCGGCGAACATCGTACTCTCTCGTATATTTACGTGTATGTTATGCCAAGAAGGTTTTCGTTCTTAATTTAATCTCTTTCATTGTCTTAAAACTTTACAGCACGTTGGAGTCCCCTTTGGCGGTATTCTTTCATTGCTACAACTATAAAACTTATCGACACTATCAAAAAATTGTATACGAAAGAAAAAGTTGATTTTTTATATCTCGTACTTCAGAGTTTGTGATCATAAAACTCCATAATATGCAACACAACTTGAATAAATTGCCTTTATTAAGCAAAACTAGTTGTTTTCATCCTTGATTCCATTCAAATTATACAAAACATTATTCCTTTTTTGCTCTCTCCCTCATTTAGAATATATGCTTCCTTTTATTACCCCGGTGTTCTGCTAACACTTCTTTAATTTCACGTTAGTGTAACGCCTCGATCAGGCCAAAAACTTTGCAAACTTCTTAATCAGAACAAAATCACTCGTAAAGGCGACTTCTTAAATTCTTATATTATTTTTTTAAATCCCTTCTTAGAACTATTAACTCTACGAGCAAATACGATTGGGGAGATTTAAATGCCAGCATTAATTTGGTTTGGCCGCCGCTGGCGTATTGCTTCAGATGATTTTCCACTCCCTAGTGTGTGTGCTTCCATTCTCTTAATCTTTTCCTGGATATTATCCTTTATCTACTCCTACCCCTATGATTGTGGAGGCAACGTATTTTATCATGACAAAAGTCCCGCGTCAAACTGCGAGGAGGTACCCTCGAGGATTAAAATGGCGATTTTAGCCCTGTTAATTATTATACTCGTGACAGTCGTTTGCTTCCTCTTGACAGGCCTCATCAGCTTGCGAGGCGCGATATTTGAGGAATCTAAACGGCGTTTCGTGCCCGTCTTTCTGTACATCGACACCGTCTGTGTTGCGGTGATGTTAGTAGTGGTGGTTATTTGTTTTAAATACATTGTGTATGACAAAGGACTCGATCCGTTGAAAAATCATGCAAAGGTGATTATGCTACTTTCTCTGAGTTTGGACCTGTTGGTTTGCTTTGCCTATATCATTTTTTTCGCGGTGATGTATGACTGCAGTGGAAGGAAGACGTACACCAGCTTTGAGGACTATGAGAAGGAGTGGGTGAAGCGTTTTTCGATTATCTACTGTGCATTCCCGCGATCGCAAAGGAAGGATCCCAGCTTCGGGATGGTGGCGAAAATTCTCGCGCAGGCCTTTGGTGCCTGCGACGTCGTACCGAGTGATATTGCCGCGGGGTTGTTACTCCTTCATGGATACCAGAAGTGTTCTCGACGAATTATCTCCCAGAGCCTTTCCTACACTCCCCTGGAGGATGGCTGGGTTGAGAAGGTCTGCAGTGAGGCACGCTTAGTCTTGCGGCTCACTCCAGAGCAGCGCGACGTGGTACGGGAGCTCGATCATTACATGGTGTACTCTCAGGCGATTCTTGGTTGGATGTTTTACGAATATTCGCACTTTGGATACGGCCTTTGTTCGTTGTGGTGCTCCGAGCCCCAGAGTTGTTGTCAGCGCCCCAGCGATATCCATAGCAGCGTCACGTGCAGCTTTGACCTCACAGCCCTGCGAAGGATTTCAGGGCTGCTCGAGGAGGATATTATCCTGACGAACTGGGCGAATGAGCCGTTTAAACCCGTCTACTACGTCGCGCATGATCCTCGCACACATGCGATATTAATCGTGGTGCGGGGGACGATGTCGCTTGCGGATTGCATCACCGATCTCCTCGCCATCCCCGAGGTGCTCAAACTGGATGACGCCGACGATGAGCGGTACCACGAAGAGGACTATTACGTGCACATGGGGATGCTGAAAAGCGCCCAGTACATATTGGATTCCCTGATGACGAAAGGGATTCTGACGATGATCGAAAGCGGGCCCTTCGCGGACGCGAAGATTCGCGTGATCGGGCACTCCTTGGGCGCCGGCGTCGCGCTTCTTCTCTCGGTGTTGATATGGTCGTCTAGACGGGAGCTTCGCTCGCGCCTTCGCTGCCTCGCGTACGCCCCTCCCGGCTGTACGATGTCGAAGGCGGTGATGGAGTACTGCAAGAGCTACACCGTCGGCTGTTTTCTCGGCTACGATCTCGTTCCCCGGATCGCGCCACACACCTTCGAGAGCTTCCGCGAATCCCTCTTTGACGTCATGGCGGCCTCGACGATCCCTAAGACCCTTCTCTTCTTCAACCTGTGGCGAACGAGGAAAGTGGCGCAGTCGTTCCATCCTTCCGCGCAGAACCATGAGCCGGCGAGGAATATCTTATTGCCGGAGTGTCTTGCCTGCCGAAAGGAACTCCGCTCGAGCATCTGCGCGCCGGTGAAAGATCCCCGACAGCTTTTCCCCTGCGCGACGCTCGTTCACCTGCGCAAGGTGGTGGCGCGTTCCCTTCCTTCTTGTTTGAAGATCGGGCGATGCCTACCGTTCGCGCGAAAGGAGATCGTCTACATTCCCTGCTTCGAGGACCCATCCGAGGTGCAGACGATTATCGCCTCACCGAGTATGTTCTCGGACCACATGCCCGATCGCCTCTGCGATGCCATCTCGGAAGTCGTTTGCCGGATGGATACAGGGGAGCTGGAGCGCTTTTACGTGGATGAACTGCAGAGCGACGTACCGGAGGATATCGCACCTATGATTTTCGTGCACCCCAACTCGGAAGAGTTGGGTTGTCAACTACAGGTCTAAGGGATACGTGTTTTTCAACAACTGAGATGCCTTTGGGCAGGTGGATTCCCGTACATAAGCTTTTGTAAATAATAAGCGATTAGTAATGTATAAATATGTACACGTGCATTACTGTATGTATGCACTAACGCCATCGTTATATTGATATATTAAACATACTAATCTTTCTCCCTACAATGCAGAAACTATTTTTTTGTTCAAAGTATTCATACGAGGTACATTTGATATATGAAGGTCATCCTATATTTGCTTTCGTGTTTGGAAAGATAAGATAAGCATAGTAAATTGACATAGCATTTCAATTCGCTCACCTGTTCAGGGTTCCTTAGTTTTATTTATACACATGTAGGCGGTTTTCAGTAAAGAATGAATTTTAAAAAGCATAACGAAGTAGTGTCCTTCTCTCTCAACACTGATGATCTCACTATATTTTGACAAGTCTTCCTTTTTTCATCCACGCTTCCCTTGAGATATCTAAACACTTGAGATTCTTAGTATACAACCAGTAGTACTAATAGAGTTCCCTTTTGCGTTCATTTTCTGTGCATTCCAAACGACCGTTCCATTGGTTTCATTTCTATTGTGATCTACAGTAGCCTGCCCGTTTCCTCCTTATCCTTTTTTTATCGGTGCATTACGAGATGAGTACCCAGGAGGTAGAGCAATTACGGACCGAGGGAAATGCGTACTTTCAGGCTGGTAAGTATCAGCGTGCCGTGGAGCTGTACACGCAGGCGATTGAGATCTCAAAGACAACAACCCTCCTCTGTAACCGCGCCTTTGCGTATCTGAAGCTAGAACTCCCCGGTGCAGCTCTATCCGACGCGGATGAGGCAATTCAGTTGGAGCCGGGCCTTCCCAAAGCCCACTACCGCAAGGCCTCAGCGCATCTTTTCCTGGGCAAATACAAAGAAGCCCTTAAGGATTTAAAATTAGTGCTCCAGTTGGTACCCACGGACAAGGATGCCAAGATGAAGTACGATTTGTGTGAAAAGGAAATAAAGCGGATACGTTTTGAGAACGCTATTAAATCTAAAGATTCTTTGCCCATCTCGAGCACGATTAAGCTGGGGGTGATTCCTGAAAGCTATACCGGGCCGAGGATCGAGAACGACACGATCACCGTAGAGTTCGCGGAGGCCGCGAAGGAATATTTTAGGGCGCAAAACAACATTCATCGCCGCGATGTGGTCTTTATTCTTCTTGAGCTTCTTAACTTTTTCAAGACGCAGCCCAACGTCGTTTCGATTAGCATACCCGATGGGGAGGAGATCACGGTCTGTGGGGATACCCACGGTCAGTTCTATGACCTGCTCAACATCTTCGCAATCAATGGGAACCCTTCGTGCACGAATCGCTACCTTTTTAACGGCGATTTCGTCGACCGCGGCTCGTACTCCGTTGAGAATGTGATGACGCTGTTTATTTACAAGCTGCTCTACCCGGAGCACGTCTTTCTCGCCCGCGGGAATCACGAGGGCGTAGGGATGAACCGCGTCTACGGTTTCGAAGGGGAGGTGCGCGCGAAGTACTCGCCCGAGGTGTTCGACTTGTTTACAGAGGTATTTAACGCGCTTCCTATTGGGCACATCATCAATAATGAGGTGTTTGTAGTCCATGGCGGTTTGTACTCCGACGACAACGTCACGATCGAGGATTTACAGAAACCAAACCGCTTCCGAGACATCCCGGAGAACGGGTTGTTGTGTGAGAGTTTATGGGCGGATCCGCAGCCGATGCCCGGGCGGACGCCGAGCAAACGCGGCGTCGATTGCCCCTCCTTCGGTCCAGACGTTACGGAGAGGTTCCTCGCGCATAACCACCTCAAGCTCTTGGTGCGCTCGCATGAGGTGAAGGATGAGGGGTATGTGGTGGAGCATAATGGCAAGTGTATCACGGTGTTTAGCGCGCCCAACTACTGCGATCAAATGGGGAATAAGGGCGCCTTCGTGCGGTTTAAGGCGGGTGAAATGGTGCCGAAGTTTACGACGTTTACCCACGTCCAACATCCGGGGGTGCGTGCGATGCGGTATTCATCGGGTTTGGGGCTTTTTTAAGTTTTGGTCGAACCAGGTGATTCTGAAGGCTGGTGGTGTTGTATAAAAACTATACCCTACCCCTACCCTCCTCCTCAGACATCTTCTCTAGTTTTGCGTGGTATAATAATAATATTAATGATAACTATATATATATATATGTATATATATATATATATATTAAAAGAAAACGTTTTAGGTAGGAATATTTCAGGTCCTTCCCTCCGTATCGGGGTGGGGGACGGGAGGGTAAGGTGTGTGTGAAAGCTATAAATTGAAATGTATGTATTCTCTTACATACTACCAAGTCTGTGAGAATATGCGCATTGTTGGTTGGTGTCACTCTATTAGAATAATTATTTCTAAAAGATCTGATACGATAATGATTACAAATAATTGTATCTTTGCACCCACCCACCAATAACTACACAGCTTAGGGATACAATCTTCCTCACGTAGGATATCTTTATCGTGCATGGCTAATGTGTGTTTTGAACTTGCAACGGAAAGAGCTTCCCTCTAAATATTTTTTCCTTAACCATTTCGTTCTTTATATATATATATATTCCGCTTAAAACTCATTGTGCGTAACCAGAGTGAAGGCTTATTAGTATCTAAATTTTATTTAGATTTCGGAAATAACGAAAGAAACGAAATACACGCGTGCCGGGAAGCATTTGTTTGTTTTCCTTCCTTGTACTGTCCTCTTTTCTCCATCGGAGGGGAGTGGGCTGTGATCAGATCAAAGAAATCTTATATTTACACCCACCAAAACAAAAGGAACTCCTATTTTTTGCATTAAAATCAGTTAAACAAACTTTCATTAGTTTTATCCATCACACTCATTTTAGGGAAAATTCAATCAGAAAAAACATTCATCGGGAATGTCACCTTCTTTTCCAAATTTCGAAAGGATGCATCTTCCTTCTCGACGTATTCAGCGCTTCTTAGCATATGGGACGTGCGTGCTTCTTATTTCGATCGCTTTCAGCACTGTAGCAACGTCAATCGAAACGTCAACAGCAACGGCCGGCACCGACATACCGAGTCAAGATGCTATCCCTACCCTTTACGACGAAACTAGTTATCAAGGGCAAGATATTAATAGGGAATACATGGCTTTAGATTCCTTTTCCATTCTGGATCACATTTTTCGGATATGCATCTACATCTTTCTCTCCGCCGTGTTCGCCGGCCTCACGCTCGGCGTCATGACCATCGACACCTTTACTCTAGAAATTATCGCGGAGAGCGGCCGCATGCCGGATTGCAAGTTTGCCGAGCAGATTCTTCCGCTGCGAAAGGATGCCCATAAGACGCTTTGCACACTTATTATATCAAACATGCTGTGTAATGTGCTGGTGGTTCAGCAATTCCGCGCGATCGTTTCCGGCATACGGCATCCGGATCCGGTAGCCCGTCCGGGTCACGTGGTGGATGATTTCTGGGCGGACCTGTGGGAGTTTGCCGGGAGCACGTTTTTAGTGGTGGTAACCGAAATTTTACCCATGTCGATATGCAAATCAAAGTACTCGCTGCGCGTGGCGGCGTGGGGTGCGATATTCGTCCATTTTGCTATGATCCTCACCTACCCGGTATCGATGCCGCTGGGGAAGTTTCTCGATTGGGTGGTGGGGGGAAAAGAGAGGGGTCAGATTTACGACCGCAATGAGCTGCGTAGGCTGATGGTCATTCAATACGAGCGCAAAGGTAGCAACAAGGCGGGGATGTCGAAGTCAGAGCTCGATTTGCTGCTCTCCGCGATGGACTTCCAGGAGTCGAAGGTGCGGGATGTGATGCGGCCGATCGACGGTATCACCCACATCCACGAGAGCGACCTCATAACGCCCGATTTTATTGCGCATATTTGGCTTTCCGGGCGCTCGCGCGTGCCGGTGATGTCTGAAAAGGGCACCTTCGACAGCGTTCTCGTCGTGAAGGATTTGCTGACGGTGGATGTCGACCCCTCGTCGAGGCCGACCAAGGTAGCACAGATCATCAAGGAAAAGAAGCGCGGTTTGGCGATGGTGGAGTCGAGCACGACCTTGCCGAGGATGTTGCGGATTTTTCAAGATCTGAAAACGCACATGGCGCTGGTTTTCTCCGCGGATGGCTGCCCGGGCGCCGAGCGGGCCGCGCTCTCGCCGTCGGCGGCGAGCACGTCCGTCGAGCACGTCCACACCGTGATCGGCCTCGTCACGATGGAGGACGTCGTCGAGAAGCTCCTGAACGAGGAAATTTACGACGAGTACGATCGATACGGCGCCGTCGACGGCGGCGGGGTCGAATTCCAGGACGCGACCGTGCAGGATATCGACACGCTAAGCGCCCCGACGATTCCAGAAAAGCACCCGCGGGTGAACTTCTACTCCTATTTCACCCATCCAGAGGCGGATGTGGCGTTGACGGTGGAGCAGGTGTGGGCACTCGCGTTCTTTCTTCAACGAACGATCTCCTGCTTTTCGATTTGGAATGTGGAGTACATCAAGCGGCTTCTGGACGACTGTCATGATCAACAACTCGTCCCGCCTTCCTATATGCAGCGGAAAAACGCCCTTCTCCCGTCCACCATCGAGGAGGATTCCCTCCACGGGAGTAGGGTTCCAAGCCATGCCACCAAATCGCCCAACGACAGCTCCTTGTCGGACGATCGAAAAGATTCCACCAGCACGAATAATCTTTTCCCGTACAGTACCACCCATTCTCAATTTCTGAGCATGGTGGAGGACGAGAAGTTTATCTTATACAAGAAAGGGGTCTGCTCGACTAACTTTACGATTGTGCTCGGGGGGCAGGTGGAACTGCTCGTGGGCGAGGAGACCTTTAGCACACGAATTTTTTCGTTTAGCCACGTCGGCGAGGAAGCACTGATCTCGTCGGTTTTTATACCCAATTTCAGTGCAATCGTGCTTCAACCCGCCCGCGTTTATTGCATCCCTAGAGAATTATATATCGAGTATGCATCGCATCAGCTCACGAAGCCTGCGATGGTGAGAAGCACCTCTGCCGAGCTCCCTCGTCCGCGTGGACACTTCAACACCTCCTTTCACTTCAGCCCCCACCCGTGTTCGCAAGTTTCGAAGAAAAACAGCTACGCTCCCCTTCCCTCTGGATCTTTCAGGGATGATAACTTAATTTCAGATCAAAAGGCATATGGTACCTTTAATAAATAATATTGTCTGTGAATTCACAACTCGGATGAACGGGTTAATTGGTTCACCTTGCGGGAGGGGGAGGAGATCCGCACAACGCTGGAGTATAAAAAGGGTTTATTGTCTATTTCATGAATGAAAACCGCGGGAATAGGTCGGTGTCTAATACTTTAAACAGTAATAGCATAAGTTTTTCTTACTTAAAAGTGTAATATTGCTAATTTTTTGTTTGTTAATTCGATATAGGATAATTTGTGGACCAACTAGGACTCTATATTTCTTTTTCGTCTTCTGTAGGGGAATGAGCCCAAAGGGGCATCTGTGCTGTCATTATGGATCGTGATATTTTTTCTTCCAAGATGCTTCCAACTTTTGTAGGGGCAACACATTTTCTTTCTTCTTCTTATCATGCTTTTTTACTTTTGGGTGTGGGTGGGGCCTACCATGGTGAACTAGTCGTGTATCGTGTATTCCCGGTAAGATAGCAAGCACACGTCTCACGTAGTGTGTGGGAATACCTTTTATAGCCTTTCTACCGTTATCCTCACCGGTATATATATATATATATAAACATCTTAGAATGACAACTCGATCGACTTCTAGGCTAATTCGATCATGTGTCCTTTTTTTAGCGGTCATTGTTGCGGTGGCGCCTCTCGAGGCTCGCGCGGAGCGGCCAACAGATAGCGGATACGCCTCGTTGCCGCTCGGCGTGCTCATCCCATTTTGCCTTCTGACGGTTGTGATGTCGGCTTTTTACTGCGGCCTGACGCTCGGCCTGCTGGGGATTAACACGACGACGTTGGAGATCATCGCGGATGCGGGGCCGGAGCCGGATCGGACGAACGCGCGGAAGATTTTACCCGTCCGCCGGCTCGGGCATCAGCTGCTCGTCACGCTGTTAGTGGGAAACATGCTCGCGATCGTGCTCACCTCGCAGCTCATCGCGGCGATTGTGAACTCCACAGAGCTCGTGAACTTCATTGTGGGGACGTCGGTGATTCTTGTCTTTGGCGAGATCATCCCGATGAGCATTTGTAATAAGGGGAGTAATGTTCTCGTCGTGGGGGGTAAATCGGTGACCGCGCTTAAGGTCTCTCTTTTAGTGCTCTATCCGATCGCGAAGCCGTTGGGGATGTTGTTAGATTGTATGGTGAAACATGAGGCCGGACAGATTTATGATCGAAACGAACTCAAGAAGCTTATCAGCGTGCATTGCGATAAGTATTCCGAGAAAAGCGGCATCGACACGGAGCAGGTGCGCATGATGCTTCGGGTCCTGGAGATGGATGAGCGGACTGCCAAATCCATTATGACCCCGCTGAAGGATGCCTTCATGCTGGAGGGCAACATGCCGTTTGATCACAAATTGCTCAAATGTTTATGGGATATCGGTAAATCGCGGTTGCCTATATACATCGGGGAGCGAAGCAACATTGTCGGGGTACTCTACGTCAAAGATCTCCTTGACGTTTTCCTCCTCAACCATAAAGTGCCGATGACGGTCTACGATTTCGTGATAGATCAGGGGCGTGATATGGTGGTGGTGGACGCCAACCTCCGGATGCAAGATATTTTGGCGATGTTTAAGAATCGCGTCCCGCATCTCCTACTTGTGAGTGGTACTAACACAGGCGGTGATCAAACAACCCATGACGTATCCCAAAGAGTGCAGTTACCAAAAAACCTCAGCATACCTGAAGCCAACAATGATGAGAACCTCACAGCTCAGCCATCACAGGGCGTTTCACCCGGCGCGAAGGGCCCCCGGCCGGGCGAGAAATCGACTGGCACCTTTATTGGAATCATCACGTTAGAGGACGTCATCGAGGAGTTGATCGCGTCGGAGATCTACGACGAGGATGAGTACCAAGAAATGCTCTCCGACTCCGAATCCGACGCGCATAGCAACACGCCCGCGTGCGTTCCAACCCAGGCGAAGGTGCCACCGATTCACAAACTACACGTGAACTTCTACTCCTACGGGGTTCCCGACGCCAACGACACCACCGGCCTCCACACCTCCCTTAGTGAAGAACAGAAGTGGGTGTTGGCGGATTACATCACGCGGATGCACGTCGCCTTCGCGACGTTGAGCGTTTCCAGGATGCGGAGCTTGATCGATCGCGTTGGGGATCGCGTGATTCGAGTTTCCGCGGATCCCTTGTCGCAGAAGCGTGAGGATGGGGGTCGGGTTCTGCTCTACCACGCTGGGGTGCCGACGACCCTCTTTACCCTACTTCTTGGCGGTGCCGTGCGGCTTATCGTGGATGAAAAGCTATCAACCGAGATGTACTCCTTTTCCTCCTTCGCCGAGGAGGCTCTTCTAACGGATGCGAGCTTCGTTCCAAGCTACACCGTCGTGGTCACGCAGAACAGCCGCGTGCTGCAGATCTCAAAAGAGGACCTGCTCATGGCGGAAACGACTCCCAACAGCGGGAGCAACAACCAAAAGGAGCACCCGTGGTCGGTGGATAAATCCATGGTATGAGAAACGTTGAACCGATTAGGATATCATTTGTAGATTATAACTATATATATATGTTGAAGACAGTGATGTAGATGTCATCGGATAATAGAGTGAAAACAGTAGAGGGGAAGGTAAGGGGCCGAGGGAGTCACCGCTCTATAAAAGTAAAAATTTGCCATGACGTTAACATGCGTATTTACTGTTAGATATATCTAATGGGCTGAATAAGTATAAACTTAATGCGTATTTACAAGTGCTTGCAAATTTTTCACTAATTGAGCAACGACTTGCCGTGTAATTTTGTGATAACACTTTTTAAATTACTTTCCCCTTATACCTGAGTTGTCTGTCGCGAGAACAGCTTCTACAATGATTTTCGGATGATGGAGTGCATCTGTCTTAAAGATTTGGCTTGTGCTAAACCAATTGCTTCGCATGCCAACAAAAAGGCAGCCTTAGTGAATTTTTATTCGAGTTCTTTTGAAGTCTTTTTCTTGATCTTCCCCAAATGACATGCTTGGATGTTTATTCGTTAAAAAAAAATTGTAGAAATATTTTATCTTCTTCGTCCTTTGACCCATTTTATTCCAAGGGTCCTTTTGGTAACTACACACTAATACTCGCTCACAATCGCGCAGAAGAGGCCTTTGCACTGCAGACTATGGATACCAGTCAAGGTGAGTTTACCATTTGCGCCTCTGCAGAAAGTCCGGAGGATGCTCAGTTCGATAATTTAGTGGGCGCAATTGAAGACTTTATGATCTCTTTTGATCTGAAGTCCGCCCTAAAGGAATTACCAAGACTAAGAAGCATTACGGGGGAACACGAACAGCACGCCATTTATAAAAAATTTTTAAATCATGTTGAAAGTGAGCTAAATCAACATATTCTTGCACACTTTCCCGAATACAAAGACATCTCGGAGGTTGAATCTATACTCCATGCCCAGCACGATAAAATATCCGAGGAAGTTTGGGACTTCATTAGCGAAGGATGCTTTGATTATAATGTATTTTTGGAAGAGTGGAAAGCAAACTCCCCTTAAAGGTTCGAGACTGATTCTGTATCATAAGAAAGAAATGTGGGACTCATTCCACCATCATCACTAGTGTAGGGTATTTATTTTACTGTTATCATTATCTTCACCAAATAAGTGTAACGTATTCAAGTTGTTAAATCCCTTGTGCGAATGTGCCTAGCATTGGCGTTGGTGTCTTGATTCATTCGAATAATCGTCATGGTTGTGTTCGGTCTGGTGGAAAAACTAGGACGGCTAATGTGTTGAGCGCTTAGTGTTTTATGAAATCACCAAAAATGTATTTTTCTTTAATATATTATGGAGGATATGGACCTCCATCTTTTGAAAGCAGGTGACAGAACGCGGCACCAAACAGGCTTTTCAATCGTCTCCTAACGGCTCCGCTGGAGCAAATAGAGAAAGATAGGTAAGGAGATTTATGTAAGAATGGTGTCTTTTTCATGATGTTCAATACACTGCCTCTAAATTGTCTAGCCATGCGATAACTATTACTTTATTGAGTTGGGATACCCTAAGTGACTACTTCGTACATTATGCGCACAGGTATTGAATAAATGTATATTCATGCCAATAGGCCGACATCCGATCCGAAGTACCCGACTAATTGTTTTTTTTTGTGGGGGGGGGGACTAATTTGCCCTTTCGATACGTAGGTATCCGTAGCTATGTGCACACTCAGGCAGTTCATTGTTTTCCTCTCCTCCAAAGTCACTCAGTTCTTCGTACTTCACACAATATATGTTTATATAAAGAAATAACCAAATATATAAAGCACTTCGAACATATCCCTTATTGAATATACGGGTTATTTCTTCGAGAGTCTGAGGAAAGCCTCAATCTGGATCTCAAAGGTAAAGGGAAAGGAAAAGAGTCATGCTTTCCGATCCCTACGAATTTATTTGGCGTCCACAACGTCCTGCCCGTTCTAAAGAGCAGGTTGAGGCTGACATTGAAAAGTTTAAAGACGTTAAGCTTGAGCATATCTTCACTTTCGAGGACCGTCTCGCAGTGCGGGAGCTCATCTACATAGTTATAAATGACGAAAATTTTCGCAATATTTTCGACGGTCTTTTTCTACCGCCTCCGTATATTTTACCCTCCCTAGCAGATAAGCGATGGACTGGTGAGGACGTGGCTTGTCTGGTGGGGCGCTTTGACCCCTCCCTGGATGGCGTCGTTGTGAGGCTCCCCTTCAACCTGGCGGTGCAGCTGGGCAATTACAGCGCGCGCCTTCACGCTGCCTCTCAACGGCTCTGTTGGATTCTTAACGTGCCGCTCGCGATTGTGGAGGCGCAAGAGAAGATGAGTTTGAGATTTTACGAAGAATACGTTCGGAGCTCCGATGTCAACCCCCACACGCCCGTGCAGGAGGATATCGAAGGACGACGGGCTCAGCGGAAGTGGAATTTGAAGCGGACGGCCACGATCGCCGGGTTTTCGACCCTCGGCGGCGCCGCGCTGCTGGTGACCGGCGGCGTGGCGGCACCGATGGTCGCCTCGGCGTACGCGGCGCTTTCGACGGGGCTGACGACCACCATCTGCGCCATCGGATCACTCGGCGGCGCCGTGCTCGGAACGGGCGCCCTGGCAAGCGTCTTCGCGGCCGTCGTCGGCGTCTCCACGC